CTTCTAGACGAGTTACTGACACCCCAATAAAGAAGTTATTAGCAGAAGAGATGTCAAAAAAAACGGAGTCCAAGAGACAGCCACCGAGTGTTATTGCCTGATTGATGGGTCTTGATAGGCTGCCTCCTCAACAACCTCTTCATAGAAGACATAAAGGGTTCCCGGAAACTTATCGACAATGGACTGCATCAATATCATCGCAAAGGAATGGAAAACCATATGAACACCGATGATATGATTTTCCTATTTCATCTAGATGGTTCATATGATTTTCCATCTCTTTGCGATGATACTGATGTAGTCCATTGTCGATAAGTTTTCGAGAACCCTTTATGTTATCTATGAAGAGGCTGCTAAGGAGGCAGCCCATCAAGACCCATCAATCTGGCAATAACACTCGGTGGCTGTCTCTTGGACTCCGTTTCTTTTGACATCTCTTCTGCTAATAACTTCTTTATTGGGGTGCCAGTAACTCGTCTAGAAGAGCTACTCCATAACTCACATGAGAACTACATATGCAAAATGAGATTTAAATTCATAAATTTAGTATAACCAGATGAAAAAGAACCACTATTGAGTGTTTGACACATCACAAAAGTAGCATTGCTTTGCTTTCGCAATGACTATTCAAAAGTCAATGTGAAAAATTAATAACTTCAAATCATAAAGCTCAAATATAGATACAAAACATGAAATCAACGTACCAAATCTTCCTCAGTGGTGCCACCATTGTAAGAACTATGATTTGATGCCAATTTGATAGACTTCTTTGTCTTTGAATCTGCCTGTTTCCTGGATGATCATTCCAAGATGACATACATATTACTATGCACAGAGAAGTAAGCAAACTGTGTATACATGATTTCAAATCACCTAAAACAATGAATTGAAACAACATGCAATAGGGAGAACAAAATTATGAATCTCATCTAAAATGCTAAATTTATTTTAAAATATTGTGCAGCCAGACTCCAAAAACTCAAAAAGATCTGTCACGCCCCAAAATTTGGACAATTGATTCTATTCATGATCGCTATGAATGGATCCAAAAAGTTGGTGGGTTATGGTGCAAGTTCTACTTTTCTTCAAAACTTAGCATTGAATCAACTTGTGCAACCTTCTTCTTCATCATGTTGTGAACGAAATTAGAGCACTTATTCTTTTGTGCATTCAGTGAGAAGAAATAAGATGACTCCAAAACGTGCCGAAGACTTGATTTTCATTCATAACAATCTTCGCCTTCTATCAAGGAGAACCCCACAATATATGCAAGGACAAACCAAGACGTGGGATATAGCCGGCGATGCTTTCGATTCATTTGAAGATGTTGGAGAGATTGAAATTGCAACACTCTCCCTTGATGAACCAGAATTGGAGGCCATAGTGTTTACGGATGATGGTGATGGAGGTGATGGAAGCAATGATGAGGCAATTGAAGTTGAGTCAAATGACAGATGAACTGGGACCATTGAATTTAGTGGATGGACAATCTTTTTTGTTTATGTAAAGATGTTTAATGTAGTTGCCAAACTTGTGGTGGATGATATTTTGAATGTATGATGTCAAATAGCAGTTTTTTTTTTATAAATGAATGATGATCAAATGAAAATGTTATGGATGCTTAGTTGTTGAATTGTTATTTGTGTGGTTTTTTATCCCTAATTTTATTGAAATAATGTTCTTTATATATGGATTTATAATATGTACACATTTACAATTTTTTTTATTGAACGTGTCCCCCAACGTGTCCTAGTTTTTAAAAAAATTCAGCATCTGTGTGTCCGTGTACCGTGTTTGTATCCGTATCTGTGCTTCTTAGTATCCTATATATTACAGCAACAATTTCAAAACCAAGAAGAAAATTATATCCTTATAATCTGAATTCTAAGATTCATAGCTTCGCCTATATTTTGAAACGATAAGGACAATGAAATATTACAATAAACATAAAAGTATAGTGGTTCATGACATAAACTGGTTTCTACAGCTCCCACTAAGAAAGGTTCCTAGTCTAAACACCTATCATCTATAATTGTTGCTTGTATACGGGCATTCAAGCCTAATAAAGTCCAAGGTTTAAATGCAATCTGATTTAAACCAATATGCACAAATTTGTATTTGTTCAGATGTTTTATGAGATCATTAGGATCTAAGAGATTTAGGATTACTTCATCATTATCGATACTTATTGTTTGCTAAATGGTTTTAATTGCCATACTACTATTGAAGTCAAACATTCCAATTTTGTAGATTAGTTTTGGCTTTATGGATAGAATTGTCCATCTATTTAATTGTTCTTGAATGTTATTATATTCAATTAATTTAGTATTTTTGACTGATTCTGATAAAGATCTATTTCGAGATCTAAACAAAAAAACAATTTGAAGTCTTCATATGCATACAACATCTGATATGATTATTAACTACTTTGTTAACGATTTACAGGGGAAAATAGTCTAATGCAATTAAATGCAATACGACAAACCCCTAGCGTGACTAGGCTGAAGTCCCATAAGATTATACGAGATAAACCGTAAAATTATAACAGTCCTATCTTATGCAAAGTCCTTCACATAATCTTACCGTATATATTTGACCAATCAATTAAAGTTATCACAGCTCTCACACCAACTAGACCCAATATCTAACTGATTTTGATAATATTTAATTTCTCGTTTTAATACTTTCTATGCAAAACATATTCCTTGTTCAAAAGAGTATTAAACAAACAATTCTATAAATATTTAATTCTTTTTTATTATTATTTATTCAATGAATTACTTGAACACGATCCAATAAGATATCACAAATATAAAAACTATCATAACAACTCCGAGAACAAAACAAATAAAAATAGTTTTATTGAAAGTAAACTTACAAAAGATTGCAATCTTCTAACACACTAAGCACAGTATGGTTACAGAAGAAAGCCAGGAAATTCAAAGAAGTCTATCTCAACAAGGGTGAGACCATCCCTTTTATCCAAAAGATATGATCAAGTCCGAAAAAGAAAGAAGACAGGTGGGTGCTAGATAAAAAAGCAGCAGTGCGACCCTATTCCCTTTGTATTAATGTGTCAGCAAGATAAGTGTCATCAACTTTTATTGTTATCCTTGCCACAAGATTACTGCCACTTTGGTATCTCTTTCGGAAAAGTTGATTCTACAAAATCCATCATAGAAAAATAGATTATGCTTTTGTCACAATCAATTCCATTTTTACTAGGGGTGTTCGCAGATTGATTTGGGCTTGGTGGCTTCCCATCCGCCATCCGTCCGAACTTAGGCAGATTGGAAAAAATAATCCACATCCGTCCGCTTAGTTAGTAGATGTGGATTGAGTGAGTCATGTAGGTTGGCGGATGGATGCGGTTTGGTTTGGCATTATGGTGTTTTGAGCTTTACTGTTTTGGGCCTTTTTTCAAACTATTTCCCCATATTTCTTTACTATTTTTTGGCCTTATTTGAGTCCAAAATTTTTTATTCTTCATTTTTTATAATAAAAATAAAGGCTCAAATTTCGTACTTTATAAATAGGTAATATAATTACCAAATAAAAGGCCCCTTTTTTAACACACAAAGCACAACACCATTCTTAGGGGTGTTGATGAATCGGGTTTTGGTCAGATGGCCTCTCATCCATCACCCATCTGAACTTAGGCAGATTGGGAAATATGCATTCGCATCTGTCCACTTGGACCATCGAAACCATCTGTTTTGTGACGAAATGGCTCGGGCCATTCGGATTTGATAGGTCGGGTGGATGTTTGCCCAACTCTAATTTTTACAAGTGGAATGATTATATTTCGTCGTTTTCTTTAATCTTCTCCATCATTAATGATGTCATTGCATCCAAATATTCACTGATTGGAGTTGAAGGGTCCTCCTATTCCCATAAATGACATTGGATAGGAGCAATGTCTAAACCAATCATTCACTTACTTAAATTGAGTACTAGTGCACTAATTATAGCTACTAGTTGCATCATATGAACACTTCATATAATGACTAGGCCTAGATTCAAATGACTAACAAGTGTACTGACTCAAATGGACATTTACTTTGCATTTAAGCAAAGAATAGATACCATCTTGAAGAAGATACTCCCAAATCATAACCTTAATCACCCAAGATACCGAGGAGTTGGCCAATTCATGAAGCCACACTCATCAGTAAGTCAAAGTGACCTTAGTTATATACTTGAGTCCATGACTCTTCTCAAGATTAGACTCCATAGCATTAGGCACTATAAGATTCACACCAAGGTAGAGAGTAAGTTTTGTATAGTGTGAGTCTTATCGAGGTCCTTCATTGTATTGCAAATAAATCAACATATTAACTCAAAGTCTTACACTTTGTGATTGAGATAAAACATCCTATCCCATAGGGAATGCATTATAGTTGTCCTAACAGACTTCTTAGGTAAAAACTGTGTCAAGGTCTGCATTATATCTCTTGCAAATGAAACTCTTTCATCCGTGTAAATTACATGCAACGTAACAAAGGAACTTAACCATTTCATCCCATGAATAATGTCTATAATGTATGAAATAATTTCAAATAATAGGAATTAAATAGAACAATATGAATCCAGTTAGTTTGAGGGTTTGAGGGCATACATCACAACACTGCACACTCCATTTAGTAATAGCATAGGTTGTAAGTATTCCAATCATAAATTAAAAAAGGGAAGTAAAAAAAAAAAAAGGAATAAGCAATAATGACACCTTGTTTGGTTTGGAGTTTTCAAAATTTTTTTTTTGAGTTTTCAATCTGTATTTTTGTATTTTTAATTAATGATTTTTTGAAATATTTTAATCAATTTTTACTTTTTAAATCCACTTAATCTTGGTATACTTAAAATGTATAAAATTTGTACAAATTTTTTTAAAAAATTCATTAAATAAACAAAATACAAAAATGTAGTAAATTTTAGTTTTTTTGTTTTTTGGTTTTTGTTTTTCGTATTTTTTGTAATTGGTGAATTTTTAAAAAAAAAAATTCACAAATATTATACTTTTAAAGTGTATCTAGATTATGCGTATGTAAAAAATAAAAAAAATAGTGTAAAATATTAAAAAAAAATCACTAAAAACAAAAAAACTCAATTTTTTGAGGAGTGGGTTAAACCAAACAATTGTGCGAATTTGAATGTCCATACATGACTCCTAAATCTAACACAGTTTCATGATTGTGAGAAGAAGACAACCAACACAGCTTCAATGTGATACAAACCATCTCTCTTCCTTTATATACTGAAATCAGCTCTCCCTCCCTTTTCTGTTACAACCACTCAATCGACTGATAACTAGCTCTAACTGACAAGAAACTTCCATTTAACTGACAACTTGCCCTAACAAACTGATGTTCTAGACTAACTGGACAACCTACTTAAACAACTGAGACTGAATGTAGAATTACTTGAGCAACTTCAGATTCACTAGCATCCCCACCTCAAGCTAATGGGAACATCAGAGATGATTAGGTTGGATTTCAGGACTTGAAATCTGCTAACTGGAAGAGCCTTGGTAAATATATCTGCCAGCTTATTGAAAAAACCACTATGATGAACTATAAGTTGTTTGTGAAGAATCTTTTCTCGAATGAAGTGCTACTCCACTTCAATGTGCTTTGTCCATGCATGGAAGATTGGATTATCTGCTAAAGCAATAGCAAAAAGAATGTCTCCCAGATCACAGGTGGACTGACCAAAGAAACATGAAGATCAGCGGTAATTGTTGCAACCAAACAACAACAGCAGCAGTTTGAGCAGGAGCCCTATAATTTGCTTCTGTGGAGGACCTTGCAACTTTGTGTTACTTCTTCCCAAAAAAGACAGAAATGAATGGTCATCTTCTATCCAATAATCCCCACCCCAACCAGTATCAGTGTAGGTAGTTAACTATAGCGGTCCAGGAGAAAAGTTCAAGCCAAGATGTATAGAACCCTTAACTTATCTAAGAAAGTATATGCTGACAAACCAAGTTCAAAGCATGTTGTAATCACTGGTCTGGTGAGGGTCAAATATTGTAAAGACCAAACAACACTTCTAGACAAAAGTGAATGAGCAAAACCAAAACCAAAATCTAAATCAGAAGTGAAGGTATAACTGAAGAAGTTCTATCGCAGAGTTTACAATTAATCATTCCAGCTTTACTGAGGATGACAACTGCATATTTAGATTGAGACAAAAACAGACCACCATATGATTGAACGGCAATGACTAAAAAATAATGTAAAGTCCTTGGAAAACTGATGAACAGAGAATAGGTTATGAGTGATAGAGGGCACATCCAAAATATTTGAAAGACAATTTTGCCTAAGGAGCAGAAATGATATTCTTTTACCAATGTGTGCAATAGGTAAAGATGAGCCACTACCATCTTGTACACCATCAGATGCCATGTGTTGTTGATCTTGCAAAGAGAGATTTGACAAATCACAAGTGACATGATTAATAGCTCCACTATCGAAGAACCAATTGTTTGGATCAGACGCAGAGGATTGAGGTTGAGTAACAAGAGCTAGTGATGAGGTGATATTCTAAGCAGAAGACTCTGCACCATAAGGCCAATTGTTTGAATCAGCAACCAAAGGTTGTGTGTGAACAATATGAGCTTGTCGAATACCCTAAGATTGAAGAGAATGATGAGCCGTTTACCGGTTGCTTTAAATTCAAAATCGGTGAATTGAAGTTTTGAACAGGTGATTGGTAATTAAGATTTAAAATATGGTAACACTCCTTGGCCATATGATTTGACCTTCCACAAATTTGACAAGCAACCCTTTGAAAACCTAAATCTCATGAATCAAGAAGCACACACTTCTAAGAAGGTGCATGTTCGTGTCCAACACCGACACTCATTGGACACTTCTTGATATTTGTCAAACACACATCCAACACCAACACTCATCGGACACTTCCTAATATTTGTCAAACACACATCCAAATGTATCAAATTATTTTTGGATCCAGACATGCTGTGGACACTCACATGAAACACATTAGTTTAAATAAAATAGCTTAAAAGATACAATCATAAAAGAAAAACATGTATACGTATTAGTCACTCCACCATTAAACTTCAGGATTAGTGTTATATCGTAGATTTTATTATCATTGAAGGAAATATTTATATATATGACTTACAATAAATATTAAACAATATATTTTATGCATATCCCCCACATGTCGTGTCCTACATTTTATGAAACTTAAAGTGTCAGCATGTCCGTGTGATGTCACATGGCTGTGTTCGTGCTTTTTAGCTCATAATCTTGTCCTTTGTCCTCTTCAACATCCTCCAGCTTTGTTGTAACCTTTGTCACCAATAATAGAAAATATATTGCGGTGTATTTGTATGTGAAAATGATCTAACAAATCTGTATATAAGTAGTGACACAGTTGTCAAATCGGGATTCGAATCGTGAATCGAAATAACCTTATACCGAATCATAAATTGAATCGAATCATAAATCGTAAAGATTCACCCACTTTGTCTAATCACTTAGAAAAATATATCTACATATTTGGATGTCAAATATATCTTATAAATATAACATAGGGCCCATTACGCTAACAACCTTTACAGTTTGGGACTTGTGTCACTTTGGTCATTAACTTTTCAATTGTGATACATTTGACCTGAATTTTCAATCTTGTTCCAAACAAGGATAATCAAAAATGTTTCCTTTGCAAACGGTCAATTTCAAGGGCAAAGTCGTTATACAATTTATCATGTGTTGGTTAACTTGTATGTTGTTTGAAATATAATGGCCTTTTTTTTAATGAAATGCTAGAACTTTCTTGATTATAAAGTTTTGTTTGGTTTGGTTTGCTTTTCATAATCTATTTTCAGAATTTTTTTTAAGAAACTAAAATTAAATTGGTGAAAAAAATTTAAAAACACATCATCTTTATATAATTTTATCTTTTGGGAGGGTAGAAATAATTTTTTTAAATAATTATTTTTGATATTTAGTTTCATTAAATTACTTCCTATTTTTTCAAAAGTCAAACATGGCAACAATGTTTTGATGTGATTATTAAACCAATCTATTAAATCAAAAAATTCAAAACTAAAAACATTTTATATACACATTAAAAGTCTAATAACCATCCATTACATGATAACTATCCAAAAATATCTATCAAGAACAAATACAACCATCTATTACATGATAACCATCCAAAAATATCAACAAAAATAACCACCCATTACATAATCATCATCCAAACACATACTAAAAATTAATTTGGTAAGAAAATAAAAAAATAAAAATGTAAAAGATTAATCATTTTTATATATTTTATTTTTGGTGGGTAGAAATAATTTTTAAAAAATCAAAAATAATTTTTTTACATTTATTTTTGTCAAATTAGTTTATATTTTACCAAATTGACGACTTTGCCCTTGAAATGGAGCAACGGCATGTTCAATTGTCCTTATTCGGAACGATATTCAAAATTCAGGGTCAAATGTATAACAATTGAAAGGTCAAATACTAAAATGACACAAGCCCCAAACTACAGGTATCGTTAGTGTAATTCGCCCTATAAAATATTTAGACTTAAATCAATGAAACATTACTTTAACTGATGATCACATGGTCTAATAGGTAAAAAGTTAACACGGGATCCCATGTAAGATCATCATATTTCCTTTTTCTTTTTTTAGATACTTCTTATCAACCATTCTTAATAAAGAAAGTAAACAAAGACTAACTCTCAATTTTTAAGTATCAATACCTTAGGAAAGATATTGATATTTGGACAATAAACATACAAACCTTTCTAAGTAACAATGACCCAATAATAAGAAAAAAATAATTGGAAAATTGGAATCCTTGATTTTAGAACCTAAAACACTTTAAAAGGTATCTTTATGGTTCAAAAACCATTTTTAAGATATATTAAAATAAATAAATAAATAAATAAAGTGCTTGTGGAACCATTAGGTATAATTGACCTCACTTATGTAATATTAAACTATATTTATTTTAATAAAATATCAATAGATAATTCATAGTGTAAGTTATGTTAATCTTAAACATAATTCATAATGTAAGTTATGTTAATCTTAAACATATTTAGAAGATATATTATGATTTTGTTTAAGGAAAAAAAACGAAAAGAAGAGGTTAAAAACATGTTGGTTTTGACTAAATATTAAAAGCTCTATGATCACCAAAATAAGAACAAATTATATTGGTTATTTTCTTAGTAAACACCATTACAAGTTGTGTCATGTCATTTTTACTTAAAAAAAATTAATCGTGATATCAGACACAATAGTTTCAAGAATTACATGAATAATAAAAAGTGAATAGAATCGCTAATTGATTTTGGTCGTGCGATTCACCATAGATTTACTTCCAAGTACTGAAGTTGAATCATTTTGTTGAGTGTGATCTCTTGTTATGTGCATCTCCTCTACACTTAAAAAGATACCAATTCCTCAAATTTTATAGCCCTTATTGTTATCTTCAGTGAACCAAATTCTACAAGAAAACCATTTAAGGTATGTAATAAGATCCGGTTGCATCCAAGTGATATGAATACTCCTTTACACAATCAATATAGGCTTCCATATTTGAATTCTTTCGTAGATTTAACAATTTTCTTTTCAAGTTATGAATATGCATATGACCTTGTCAATAAACTGAGGTCAAGTTTGGGAAGACTAAAAAAGTGCACTTTTTGTCTTTTTGGACTAAAAAATTGAGGTTGAAAATATGGATGTTTGGGTTAACTTTTTGACTTTTTATTGAAAAATGTGTAATAAAAAATTGTAAAAATTGATTTGTAGGGAAAAATTTGAATTGGGAGTTGTGCAGCCGTAATTGTTGACTTTTGGTGAATAGTGTTAACTTTTTAACTTTTTGAGCAACTTTTTGGCTTTTTGGCTTTTTTTGAAGTCCCCAAACTTGGCCTGAATCTACTTTCTAATGCATGTCAAACTTGATTTGCATGTTCTAAGCCTAGAACATGAGGAAGGATAGAAACAAAGATTAAAGCAGTGATACCGAAGAGGAACTAGCCATCGATTAACTTCTGCAACACATTCTCAGGGTTAGATACAAAATTATCTTGTATCTAGAATGGTGAATAAGATATTATTCCATTCGCATGAAAGGAAAAAATAAATAAATAAATAAATAAATTTGAGCTTATGTCTTCCACAATATGAAATTGCCTGAATCCAGCTTGATTGTCACAAACGAATGAAAATTTGACACCAGAAAAACTAGTGATGCAATATATATATATTATTGGCACTAGGATGTTCAGATCAAAACCCGACTGATCCTCAAAGGTGCATATAGTGATGCAGTAGTTAAATCGACATTGTCAAATTTCTTGTGTTCTTGATCTTTCGAATTCAAGTAAAGAACAAATAGTTGAATTTGAAACAATTTGATTGTAAGTATCTGATACCTTGTTGAAAATGTAAGCAACAGAAGAAGACAAACTGAAATGAACCGAATCACTCTCAGTTGTTTTCAAATTTTTAATGTGGTGCACAATCTAAAACAACCAACACAGCTCTCTCTCTCTCCCCCCTGTTGCAACGGCTAAATGGACTGATAACTAACTCTTAACTGAGACAGAATTTACAACCTTCACTGAATGTAAAATCACTCAACTTTTGCATATTCTATAACGCCCATAACCGAATTTCTCTAATCCCACGCAACTTCCTCAGACAACCATAGACACCAAAGACAAAGCAACAAGAAAATCATTCAAATTTAAAACCCATAAAAATGAGCATGAGATGCACCTGTTAATCACATAAACCACCTAATTGTCACCAAGTAGACCAGAAACACACCATACTCAATTCAATTTACTAAAAATAAAAAATAAAAAAAATTGCTACATATGTCTGCATTTGCTCTTCAAATTACTCAATTATAAGTGTTTTGTGAAACAGAATGTTTTTTTAGGGATCAGATCACATACATGAAGAAAGCAGCGGTGATGACAAGGCCGATGGAGAGCATCAAAACGGATAGGGTTGGGTACCAAGCGTCGGGGACGGGGCTGGAGATGGGTTTCACTGACTCAACCTAATTCAATTCACAAAAATCAGAAAACAGGAAACACAAGAATCGAAGACAAAGATGAGAAATTTCATACCATTTTTTGTCGATGGATCGATCGATCTTCGCTTCGGCTTCTCTGTTTGTCTGAAAGACTCTTCTAGTCTGAACTCGACAAGAGTCGCTCCTAAAAAGATCCCTTTGTTTTTGGACGTAGAGCGGAGGGATTTATAGCGAGGGTTTTTAGAGGAGAATGGAAGGATTTATGGGGAGTGAATTGTCAGTGTTTTTGGACGTAGAGTGGAGGGATTTATAGCGAGGGTTTTTAGAGGGAGAATGGAAGGATTTATGGGGAGTGAATTGTCAGTGAGTGAGGGGATTAAGATTTTTTTTTTTTTTTTGGATAGGTTAATTTAATAATTTTTTTATTATTTGGTTAAAATATGAGCTAAAAAAATTATGTTTGAGTTAATTTTTAATTTTTTATTAAAAGATATGTAAAAAGTAGAAAGAAAAAAAAAATTTTGACTTTTTGATATGAAATGTTAGTTTTTTGATTTTTTTAGTGACTTTTTGACTTTTTAATTAAAAAAGTCACTTGCCAAACGAGGCCTAAGTAAAATTATGTTTGTTTTGATGATAGTTATTAGTAAAATAAATAAAAAAATATAAAAAATTAAATATTAATGTTTAAAACAATGCCCAATATGTAAAAAATAAAAAAATTTCTAATCCTTTCATTATTTTTCTAATACCGCATCTACCTCCTCTATCCCAATCCCCCTTCCAACTTCTATCTTAATCCATTCCTCCATCATAATCTCTTCTCTAACTCTATAAACAAGCTCAACACTAAATGAGTCTCACCTCCATCCTAATCTCATCCCACCCTCTATATCTAAAAATAAACGAACCCCAAATGACTTGATGATTCAGTACGGCGACGATACATGTAGGTTCGTAATTTCTCTCGTCCAGACGAGTCCCTGGCCGTCCGATATTGGCAGTGTGTGCTATTTAATTGATTGTTTGAATTGGTCAGATTTAAGAGTAAAATAAGATTAATTTAAGGAGTTGTTTGGGATATCCTAAATAAGTGCACTTTTTGACTCTTTGGACTAAAAAGTTGAGGAAAAAAATATGGTTGTTTAGGTTAACTTTTTGACTTTTTATGAAAAAATGTGTATTAAAAAATTGTATAAATTAGTGTGTAGAGGGAAATTAGGATTGAGAGTTGTGCAGCCGTACTTTTTGACTTTTGGTGAATAGTGACAACTTTTTAACTTTTTAAGTAACTTTTTGACTTTTTGACTTTTTAGGCACATGCCAAACTTCGCCTAAATACGATTTTATGAATTTTGTAATCAAATTAAATTATAAAAATTTTAAAATCAAACTATTAAAACATTTTTCAATTCTATTTGGAACAATAGTTTTCAAAAATATTATCATTATTCATAATAGAATAACAAGCAACAGTTTATAATTAGTATTATTTACATGAATATTTAGAACTAATTCTATCCTATACAAGGACACACTTGCAAAAGTAGAGGGATATAACTTTATGGTATTTAACAAATTATTTATATATATTTAAATGGTCTGATTTGGTGTTAAAGCGAATTTGTAACTATAAAACTATGGACTGGACTATGATGTATGATTTGTTTATTTAAAATCTAAGACAAATTGTGCAGTTTGATCTAAATCGGATCCGTTTATAGTTTTTTCAATTTTTATGCTTGCCTTAGTACAATTGATAATGTGCCCATTTATTATTTGAGGATTTTTTTATTAGAGTACCTGATATTAAGATTTTATAGCATAAAAAATATTCAATATTTTCATAACGTCTAAGGTCCCTAAATATCGATTTAGAAAAAATTCAATACAAAGAATTTCTCTAGACTTCCTAGAGAATTTCTTTAGAGAATTTCTTCCTAAAGAATTTCTCTGGATTCCAGTTTAGTGATTTTCTCTGAATTCTCAAAAAATTTCTCTGGGTTTAAACCAGAAAATATTTCTGCCTTCTCAATCATGATGTACAATACACAAATTAATCACCCAAATAAGCAGCAACAACAACAACCAATATACATATATATATATATATATATATATACATATAGAGAGAGAGAAAGAGAGACAGATAGAGAAATAGAGAGATAGATAGAACACATATATTGCCTTAGATCTAGTTCAAACTAGAATAAAATCTTACTGTCGAAAAAACAAAGCATCGTGAGGAGACAAAGAGAAAGAGAGGGAAAGATATAGATATGAGATGATGGATCTCATATTTTAGGTCGTCTATCTCAAATCTAAGGTCATGGAGGCGAAGGATAATGATAGTGGTTGCCAGTGGTATAGTGGGCATCGAATGGCACCGGTGGTTGAGACGGTGGTGGTGGAAACGGTAGTAGTGGTGGCTATGACAAACGGCGCTGATTGTTGAGACAATGGTGGTGAAGACAGTGGAAGAGGTGGAAACGATGGTGGTCATGGTAGTGTTGGTAATGGAGATGGTGGTGGTAGTGGTGTAGACGGTGGTAGTGGTAGTGATAGTGGAGAGAACTCTTAAAGAGAGAGAGAGAGAGAGAGAGAGCGAGAGAGAGAGAGAGAAATGTTTTAATAGTTTGATTTTAAAATTTTTATAATTTAATTTGATTACAAAATTCATAAAATCGTATTTAGGCGAAGTTTGGCATGTGCCTAAAAAGTCAAAAAGTCAAAAAGTTACTTAAAAAGTTAAAAAGTTGTCACTATTCACCAAAAGTCAAAAAGTACGGCTGCACAACTCTCAATCCTAATTTCCCTCTACACACTAATTTATACAATTTTTTAATACACATTTTTTCATAAAAAGTCAAAAAGTTAACCTAAACAACCATATTTTTTTCCTCAACTTTTTAGTCCAAAGAGTCAAAAAGTGCACTTATTTAGGATATCCCAAACAACTCCTTAAATTAATCTTATTTTACTCTTAAATCTGACCAATTCAAACAATCAATTAAATAGCACACACTGCCAATATCGGACGGCCAGGGACTCGTATGGGCGAGAGAAACTACGAACCTACATGTATCGTCGCCGTACTGAATCATCAAGTCATTTGGGTTTGAGATGTAGAGGGTGAGATGAGATTAGGATGGAGGTGAGACTCATTGTTTGGGATAATCTAAATACAGCAATGATTGAGGGCCACAATTTTTGTGGCTCAAATAGCTCGAAATTGTTAAAACGACGTCGTTTTGAGTACAAAACAACTTCAAAATTGCCAAAACGACGTCGTTTTGGCAATTTTGAAGTTGTTTTGTACTCAAAACGACGTCGTTTTAACAATTTCGAGCTATTTGAGCCACAAAAATTGTGGCCCTCAATCATTGCTGTATTTAGATTATCCCAAACAATGAGTCTCACCTCCATCCTAATCTCATCTCACCCTCTACATCTCAAACCCAAATGACTTGATGATTCAGTACGGCGACGATACATGTAGGTTCGTAGTTTCTCTCGCCCATACGAGTCCCTGGCCGTCCGATATTGGTATACGGTTTTATGAATTTTGTAATCAAATTAAATTATAAAAATTTTAAAATGAAACTATTAAAACATTTTTCAATTCGATTTGGAACAAAAGTTTTTAAAAATATAATCATTATTCATAATATAATAACAAACTATAGTTTATAATTAGTATTATTTACATGAATATTTACAACTAATTCTATCCTATACAAGGACACACTTGCAAAAGTAGAGGTATATAACTTTATGGTATTTAACAAATTATTTATATATATTTAAATGGTCTGATTTGGTGTTAAGGTGAATTTGTAACTATAAAACTATGGACTGGACTATGATATATGATTTGTTTATTTAAAATCTAAGACCGAATTGTGCAGCTTGATCTAAATCGAATCAGTTTATAGTTTTTTCAATTTTTATGCTTGCCTTAGTACAATTGATAATGTGTCCATTTATTATTTGAGGATTTTTTTATTAAGGTACCTGATATTAAGATTTTATAGCATAAAGGATATTCAATATTTTCATTATGTTTAAGGTCCCTAAACATCGATTTAGAGAAATTCAATACAGAGAATTTCTCTGAACTTCCTAGAGAATTTCTTTAGAGAATTTCTTCCTAAAGAATTTATCTCTAAAGAAATTCTAAGAAAGCTAAAGAATTTCTCTGGATTCCAGTTTAGTGATTTTCTCTGAATTCTCAAAGAATTTCTTCGGGTTTAAACCAGAAAATATTTCTGCCTTCCCAATCACGATGTACAATACACAAATCGATCACCCAAATAAGCAATAACAACAACAACCGATATACATATATATATATATACATATATATACATATATATATATATATATAGGGAGAGAGAGAGAGAGAGAGAGACTCACTAAAAGGAGAATTTCTCTGGGTTTAAACTAGAGAAATCCAGAGAAAATTAAAATTTCTCTAGCTTTGTTCACGGAGAATTGAAATTTCTCTTCTCTGGCTTTTGTAACGTCCAAAATAATTGCAATAATCCAACTCCAAACAACTAATACAAGATGACAAAATTGAAATAATAAGCTTTCATTAATCAAAATTAATATACGAAAGGTGATAAGGAATGAAAGCTAAACAAATGTTCATATACCTGAAAAGGCTTACATCTTTCTAAGCCAAGGCTTGGGTGCATCAAAAATGAGTCATAAACTCAATATAAATAAAGCTCTATGCTTGTACAAAAGAAAAATACAAAATAAACAAAACTGAGCCTTTAGCTCCACAATCCTTCCAAGCTAAGTCCTTAGTGAAGGCATATCATCAGCACCTAAAAAATGTTTTTCCCAAGTATGGTGAGCCAAAACCCAATAGAAACAATCTAACACAATGTATGGATCTTAATAAAGATATACGTATGATATGTATATCCAATGCCCATGATAAAATCATTTATAATTCTCTTACAAAACCATGTTATGCCAAGCTTTATATCTGAATTCATTTTATCTCAATTCATGAGTCATTTACTATTTTATTCAAACAACCACACTGAGGGTACAATTCAATGGGTCTCTAACTAGTATAACCATTCTATAGACACTTACATTTGCCATTTTACGAATATTTCGTTTGCGGAAATCGGCACCCATGTATACGCGTGGTTTTCGGGACTTTCACCTTGGACACGCATGCCAACTTAATTCAATGGAGTCCATCCCCTTTCTTCTTCCCAACATAGAGTACATCCCATTTCTTCTCTCAAACATCATACATTTACA